CTTCCGGGAAAAACCAAGCATGGGGTTTTTATCCCCCCCGAGTCTCGGTGAAAAGGGACCCCGGGGTCGGCCCCCCACCCGGGGGGAGTACACCTGCCCCCTGCAAAAGGAAGCTAGACCTTCCGGGTTTTTTACAATGGGCGGAAGAAAACCCCGGGCACCGTTGGGGCACCAGGGCCCCGGGGCCAGCGCCGGGGTGTGGGAGAAACTTCGGAGTACGCCCCTCCCCACTCCCCGGGGATTGGGAAACCCTGGCAGGTCACCTCTTTCAAACTGGGACGCTGTCCTACCGGGCCGACTCGGGACGTCTTTTGTGCCTTTATGGCCTACCTCTACCCCCAGGGCCCCCTCCCCAGCGGCCCAGCCCCCCAGGCCCTGGTCCCCCCCCCCTGTCGCGGAAACGGGGGCTGGTGGCCTGGGTGGTGAGCAACTGGGACGAGCGCCAGGCCCGGGTGCGCTACTACCACCAGCTGAGCCAGCACGTGTCCGTGGACGTGTTCGGCAAGGGTGGGACCCGGCGGCCGGTGCCTGACATCGGGCTTCTGCACACGGTGGCCCGTTACAAGTTCTACCTGGCCTTTGAGAACTCGCAGCATCTGGACTATATCACGGAGAAGCTCTGGCGCAACTCGTTGTTGGCTGGGACCGTGCCGGTGGTGCTGGGCCCTGACCGTGCCAATTATGAGCGCTTTGTGCCCCGCGGTGCCTTCATCCACGTGGACGACTTCCCTAGTGCCTCCGCCCTGGCCGCCTACCTGCTCTTCCTCGACCGCAACCCAGCTGTCTACCGCCGGTACTTCCATTGGCGCCGGAGCTACGCCGTGCACATCACCTCCTTCTGGGACGAGCCTTGGTGCCGGGCCTGCCAGGCAGTGCAGAGGGCTGGCGACCGGCCCCAAAGCAAACGCAACTTGGCTCGCTGGTTCGAGCGATGAAGCCACCCAGGGAGGTCCAGCCATCAGCTTTTTGATCCTCTGCTGTGCATCTCCTTGAATGCCGAATCCTGGGATGAAGGTTTTGTTTATGGGAAAAAGGTGATTTGCCAATGTTACTCAGCACAAAGGCTGGGTGGGTAGGATCCCGGTTCAGTTCTTGATGTTTTTGTTTTTGTTTTTTTGCGCAAGTAGGAGTTGGGCTCTCTCTGCTGTTGATGGGCATCAGTGTTCAGGACTGAAGGGGGGGGGGTGGTGTCCTCCCCTTGTAACTTCACCAGTGCAGAGGTGAAGAAATAGCTTAACTACAAGAAGTCATTGAGTCAGTTGCTCTGAATTTCCTCGTCTGCCACAGGTCATATTTGTGGCCTGTGCTGAGTCCAAATGTGGGGACTGCTGCTCGTTTCACATTTCACTGGACCAAGGTGCAGCAAACCCCTGGTTTTAGAAAGATTCTTGTCGTGGGATAGTGGACGGACTGTGGCTGTGGCCACAAGGAAGTCTTTCTCCTTGTTGGTTGAATTCCTCAAAGCCTCAGCACCTAAGAAAGGTGAGGAGGGTCATCCAAGAATCCGTTGACTGTTTCTTAACAAGTACTGTTTGTTCCCCTGCCAGTGAATGGAAACAAGATGCTGGATAGTCCTTGGAGAGGAGTTAAGGTGAATATATAAGTGTACCTCTCTTTACACAAATGTGTTCTTGAAGAGCTGCTTTCCTTCTTTTTTTTAATCCTCACCTGAAGATATGTTTATTATTATTATTGATTTTAGAGAGAGGAAGGGAGAGAGGGAAACATCCATTGGTTGCCTCCACATTCACCCCAACTGGGGATCAAACCAAAACCGCCAGGTATGTGCTCTGACCGGACTCAAACCCACAACCCTTGGTGTACCGACGACACTTCAACCAACTGAGCCAACAGGGCCCAACAAGCTGCTTATCAGTCACATCCCAAATTCACTGCGCTAGGGGGAGTTCAGTATTTAATACAACCTTATGGAGAATCCCTTTACAATGTGAATAATCATCCCTAACTAATTTCTTCTGTGTCTATATTTTTCTATAACCTGGATTTTTTTTAAAAAGCATATTAAAATTACAGATGTGAAAATAAAGCAGAAGCAACCTTCTTCTCCCCACTTCCCAGAAAACCAGACTGTGTTTACAAGACAGAAGAGAAGGAAGCCACAGTGTCATTTTCCACAAAATTACTTATTTTGTGTCTTTACTGGACCTGAAATTTAAACTGGAATATCATTCCTCCAGGGGTGCTGGCATTCCCTGTCCGCAGAACAGTGAAAGATTGTACTGCATTGTGGAATCATGCAAAAGGAAAAAAGTTTCATGGTGTCTGTTAATGGCAGTGTTTGTTTCGATCTGTTAGTTTTTTTTGTTAAATGTTTAGTTGCTAGGGAATGGAACTGAATTGGTGTCTGTGATGAACTTTGTCTTTTGTTAAAGGCTAAACGGCAATTCACCTTGGGCCCAGCAGATTCCCCTCTTAGTCTGTGTAGTGGTACATATATCCTCACATTTCTAATGCCCTTGAGACTGTGCCATGGGACCAACTTTGAAAATATATGCATTGACTTTAAAAGTTGTTTGAGCAGTATATTCAATAGGTGTTATCATGTGCCTTACTCTGTGCCAAACACTGGGCTTGGGGTGCCACAGGAAAAACAAAAATATGTAAGGCAAGCCCCTCTCTTTAAGGCTCTTACAATCTATCACTGCCAACAAGTAATCAGTGAACTTTGATAAATCAACTGGCAGAACCTGTTTGTTTAAAGCGATATCCTTAGCGACACAGACCATAAGTGAATTATTAGAAAGCCAGTTGACTTACAACCTGAAATAATAGTTTATGTTTCTTGATTTATTATAATAAGGACCCTCAGTGACTAATTATTGTGGGCAGGGTCCAAGATTCATTAGATTTACACATGGTTCTGCTGTGAAGAGTAATTTTGCATTTGACTACTTCAATTAGTTGAATCATAGAATTTTATCTCTGCATTTGTTGTAGACTCACTTAAAAAATCACTAAAATCTAAAAAGTGGTTCAATTCTCTTTATCCTTAAAAGGGGAAATTAAAAACCGTGGGTAAGACTTCCTTATTAAAATATTATGGCCTGGGCAGAATTATAATTACAAAGTATGAACTGTCCAACAGAGAAAAAGGAAAAATTCTATTCTTAAAATGAATATTTACGGGATCCTGGCCAGTGATCTTGGTGTTATTGGGAATCTACATGAGGCAGTGGGAGAGAGTTTAGGTTTTGAGGGAAACCTGGCTTAGAGTTGAATTCCAGCCGTGTGACCTTGGGCAAATTAGTAATAACTCTGAACCTCCGCTCCCTTATCAGTAAAACGGGGCAAGAAAACACTCCACAGCTCATTGTGAGCAGGTCAGGAAATAAAATAGGTTTAAAGGTGGTTACTCAATTGGTGAGGAAAAAAAAATATATTTTTTCCTTCTTTCCCTGCAGTGGTTTCAGGGTGCCTCCCTATTCATTTACATGTTTAAAATTAAATCTATAGGAAATAAAAAGGAAGGGACCTTCTATCATGTATTTCAAATGAATCCCCAAAGCTAAGCCTATTATTTCAAAAATCTTTGCCATTTAGACTGACCTTGAATTTGCAAACCACCTATGCTTTCTTTGAAAAAAAAAAAAAAGGTTGTTTTTGTTTTGGTTGAGTTATATAAGTAAATATTATTTTACTAATGCTCTTTTTACTATTGTCCATTTAAAAGTAACCCCGTATTGAATATTTAGCATGAGGAAGGTATAATTGCATTATTATTTATTTGAAAATTTGGGGTGTGAAATGAAGAATATTTTAAAAGGTTAATCTCATCAGAGAGCAAGACAAACGTGGCAGTTGTTCATTTTATGGTATTTTATTTTTCATATTCTAAATTGAGCAGCTTAAAATTTCACAAACACTGATATGAAATGTATATAAATGCATCATGTAGATTTCAAAATATCTTTCCTACGATTGCCATGCCTTTCCTTTAACGCATAAACTTTTCTTTACAACTTATTACAAACTGAGTATTTTTAGCACTTGATGACCCTAATTACATGAGTGCATCTGGAATGAATGTGCATCAGGAAAGACAGTCTGACTGGCTTTCAGTATTCACAGATCCTTCCCAGCGTCCAAGCCCTTCCCTGGTGGTAATTTAGAGACAGGGAGGCTTCATGGAAAGAGCTTGCAATTTGGAGCCAGAACCCGGGTAAGTGGTTCTGCCACATTCTAGCCCTAAATAAACTCTGAGTTTTGGCTTCCTCCTTTATAATGCAGGAATGCCCCTACAAAACAAGGACTAAATGTGATGATGCATGCCAGGGTGCTTTGTACATTGTAAGTTGCTATACAGTTACAGGATGTTCTACATTTCCAAGGCTCTCGAAATGAGGGGTTGGCATACTTTTTATATAAAGGGCCAGAGTGAATATTTCAGGCTTTGCCGGACATGCAGTGTCACCTCCCATTGTAGTGCACAAGCAGTCGTTGTCAATACATAAACAAACGGGGTGCCTGGATTTGGCCGCAGTCAGTTTGTCAACTCTGTTTTAGACTTTTAGAGATAGAAGGGATTTGAGAACCTACCTGATGGGGGTTTCTTAGAATGGACTTAGGAATTGTAACTGAAAAGTTTTAAAGGCAGATATTCCTTGGTTCCTAGACCAGCTTTGCAAGATTTCTTAATCTATAATAATAAAAGGGTAATATGCTAATTAGACCGGACGTCCTTCCTGACGAAGCCGGGCTGGAGGGAAGCCGGGGTCCCAGGTGCCAGAAGGAAGCCAGTGCTGGCAGCCAGGGGAAGGAAGGCCTACTCTTGCAGGAATTTCATGCATCGGGCCTCTAGTTGTCTTATATTGGACAAATTATTTAAGCTTTCTGTGTTTTTGATATTCTCATATCTAATTGAGGGTAATCATATACAATTTATGGAGGTGCTGGGAGAATTAGATAAGATACTTACAGTACTCAGGATAGTGTGTCGAACATAGGAAGCACCTGGAAGATATTAGCTGTGGGCATTTAGTAGTGGCAGAACCAGCCTTGCTTGTGCAAGTCACAACCGCTTGGAGCCTCTGTCACTTGAACTGCAAAATGAGAGGGCTGTACAAGATCTCCTGGGACCTCTAGTTCTCTTGCCATCATTCTACTAACTGGCACCTTGGGGCTTTAAGAACTAATTCACCTCCCCACGTGCCTTCCTTACAGTCTGGAAATGACTTACTACACAGCAGCTGTAAACTGGCAGAAAACCAGGCACCAGAGAGGGACACTGATGTAGTGTCACAGGCTTTAGATGGCAGGGAAGGGAGCCAGGTCCTTGGTAATTAGTCTGGTGAATAATTGCATTGAATCCATTTCAAGTCATTCTTGGATGTGTCTCAGGGACTTTTATGCTACACCTTCTTATAATAAATCAGTAATTTCTGTATACGTGTTCAGGTTATTTTGACAAAATAATTAAAGTAATGAAATGGAAAATGAGTCTTTGTTTATCATGTGTATTCCCAGGCACTAATGTGGGATTTACTTGGTCCAGGGTTTTCTGTAAGTTCATTGGTTCTAGGTGGGTAACTGAAATGCAAAGGCTTTGCCTCCTCTGGGTTGTACCAGGTCCTATTGGGCTGGTCCTCTTGTCTTTCTTGCTCATCTCTCCAAGGGTGTAAGTAGTAGGTCCCTCTCTTTCATTCCATCTTACTAAGTGCTCAGATGCCCTCTCTAGCTCCTGTTCACTAAATTTAAAAAATGCCATTTTTTAAAGAGGCGGAATAAAGTCTGGGAATGTGATAGTTGGCAAAGGTATCTTTCTTAACAGCTGGTGCTCAAATTATTGAAAGGGGGAAATATGAAATTGGAAAAAACACTGAATATTTCCTCTGCTTTCCCTTGTAAAGGGCATGTCAGTGTCACACTACCACTGACATGCCCATTTCACCACAGATTTTGAAAAATGATGACGGCCGTTTGAGGGGAGGAGAGACAAGTAAAGAGGAATCAGTAGTGAATGAATGAAAACAACAGTGCACTATAAAGTAGAACAGATGGTGAATATAGATGGGGAGTGAAGAGGAAAAAGGAAACAAGTAAAGTGTTTGAAGAGAAAATGAGATTAGAAAGGAGAGGGAAGATAAGATAAGGGCAAGACAATGAAGGAGGTAGGATAAAGGAGGAACATATGCTCAGAGAATGAGGGAGTGGGGTCAGAGCCTCAATTCAATGCCACTTTTCTAAAAAGAAACCTGTGTTCCAACTTGAAACGCAGCATCTGGTGGCAAATGGAGAATGAAATCAGGAAGTTTGAACTCACTGACGGGGAAAGTTAGGAACTTAACAAGGAATAAACTAACATTTCAGCAGAAATATAAAACGATCTCTTGATTAATTACAACAGATTCTTGAACTCTGATGAATGTTTCTTTTTCATCTTGGAAAAATCAAATTCATCGCAGTTTTTAAAACATTCCCAATGGGCATACTTCAACTGTACTTAATATCCACTCTCAGAGAAATTTATTTTTTATAGGCATAATCATAAATTGACTCTTTGAAGAAGAGTCAAAGGACTCAGTACATTTGATACACTTCAGAGTTTCATGTGGAACCCTATTGTAAAAACCATTTCAAGTTAAGTTGTAAAGAATCTAATTTTGAGATCTTTGAATTAATGTTTTTTTTTTTTTAATGTTTTTTAAAATTACTGAATCTTACCTAAATATACTAAACAATAATGCCCTATTTGAACACAAGTGCTAAAATTTTAATCTGAATTACTTCTCAACAGCACAAATACTGCTTCAGTGCCTGCTACGCCCAGGACTAGGTATGTGCCAGGGCTTGGGATGTAAATAACACTAAGATGTAAATAACACTAAGGTGAGGACTTAGCCCTTAAAAAGTGTCTATTCTAGTGGGAGAAACCGACATGGTGACAGATAATCGTAATAAAGGTATATCATAGATCATGTGCAGAATCACAGAATTTAAGGGGAAAACAAAGCAAACTCAGTAGGAGCCTCAGAAGGGCCAGAGGATTACATGTCAGGACTAGAATTTCTTCATCAGAAACTAAGTCTTCTTAATGGTCTTTCCAAAAGGCACAAGTGTGCCAGCCTCTGGTCTCAATACTTATCTGATTATTTTCAATAATTCCACAGTTAAAAATAAACATCATTATTAGCATCATCTTCAAAATGACTCATCTCTAGAGGGATTTTTCTCTCCTAGCAATTAGGAACACCTGCTCTTACCCTATGATTTTCTGTTCTTGTAATGTTCGGTAAACATTTTTGAAATCTCTTTTTCATTACGTGAAACTTAATCTGAAATACAAATAAGCACAATCATCTTAGTGATCAAACAGAATTACTGTTAGATAAAAATGAGTCTTATCTAATGATTTTATCAAGCCTCCTTCTTTGAGATTTCATAGAGGGAGGGAGATAGAAACATCAATGATGAGAGAGAATTATCGATCAGCTGCCTCCTGCATGCCTCCTACTGGGGATCGAGCCCACAACCCGGGCATATGCCCTGACTGGGAATTGAATTGGTGACCTTTTGGTTCTTGAATTGATGCTTAACTGCTGAGTCACACCCAGCTGGGCCAGTCATTCATTCATTTTATAATATACTAGAGGCCCGGTGCACAAAATTCATGCACAGGTAGAGTCCTTAGGCCTGGCCAGTGATCAGGGCCGATTGGGGCCTTCTGGCTGCTGGCTGGGGCCTTCCTTCCCTGGCTGCCGGCTGCTCCACTGCTGGCCCAGGCCTTCCTTCATTCCACGCCGCCCCCTGGTGGTCAGTGCACATCATAGCGAGCGATAGAATTCCAGTCAAAATCCCGTGGGGACACTTGCATATTAGCCTTTTATATATATAGACTAGAGGTCTTCCCTTTCCCTGGCTGCCGGCACTGGTTTTCCTCCGGCACTTGGGACCCAGGCCTTTGCTCCAGATGGAGCCTTCAGTTTTCGCTCAGCCGCTTCGCCCCTACGTATGCAAATTAACCGCCATCTTTGTTGGGTTAATTTGCATACTCTCCTGATTGGCTGGTGAGCGTAGCGGAGGGATGGTTAATTTACATGTTTGCCCATTATTAGGTAAGACTAAGGCCCAAAGCATGAAAATTCGTGCAAGAGTAGGCCTTCCTTCCCCAGCTGCCGGCACTGGCTTCCTGATGGCACCGGCTTCTCTCGGGCTGCCCGCAGGCACCCAAGACCCGGGCTGGCTTCCCTCTGGCCCTGCCTTTGTCAGGAAGGACGTCTGGAAGACATCCGATCTAATAGCATATTACCCTTTTATTATTATAGATATTTACACACAATAGGTATTATGCTAGATTCTGGGGACACAGAAGTGAAAAACATGGTCCCTGCCCTCAAGAAGACCTCAGTCTAGAACTGACAGACAGACTAATGAAGCAATGATTTTCAAGTGCCTTGATTAGCATCATGGCATAGCAATGTTTGGAGTGCAATGGGAGCATAGATGAGGGGTGTCTAACTCAAAGAGGGTGTCAAGATTGAGTGGAAATTAGGGCAGATGTTCCTGATCTAGAGGAATGTTTGTGTGAATCTTGAATTTTTAAATATGAAGAGAAGTTACCAA